TGAGTGGAATGGAGATAAGTTAAGCATTGGGTACAGGACCAAGTCTCCCCTGGGTGGTGCCAGAAGATGAGCGCAATAGAATCATCAAGTTGCCATAAGGCACGGAATGAGACTATTGCATGGCTGGGTAGTCAAAGTCTTCCATTCGTTAGTCATTTCAGGTGGATTAGAACAGGTTTAGGTTTAGGGTGGGCGTTGGCCAGATTTGGATTTTTCAGATATAATCCTTAATAGGACCTAGATTATTTAATACACTAGTAACCTCAACTTCTGTCAATGTTTCATTGTGACTAATCAACACTCAATGGGTAAAATATCAAATTTGCGGTAAATTTGAAAAAAAGGTAACTTGGAGTGTAGAGAACTGGCCACTGGACGATTCTGAAGCCTGACCAGGTGAGTGGGTTACGGGTTTATTTGATTGTACGTCATATAGATACATTCATACCATTGGCATTTTGTATTTGAGATAAGACAGAGACAGGATGCGGAGGGCCTTCTTAGGGGGAGCGTAACCTATCTTATGGCTTCCATTTATTAAATAGTTCAGATAGGCTGGAAAAGATAGGCTCATGGTGATAAATTTACCATATGGTGCCCGTTCACTGATCAAAATTAGATTCCAATCGTCAGGCCCTGCCCTGGAATAAGGGGATTGACGATGATTTGTCAAGTTTCATTTTGCATTTGCATATAATTGTAAGTTTAGGTTTGCTTTTGTAATTGTAAGATAGATAGTTTGCCTCAATTGAAACATTGAGTTGTATAAACTTGACGAATCATACCTCTAAAATAGTAGTAGTTACAGTGCCGCATTATCTAACAACCACTGCCTGCAACTAATGTTGAGGGGTCGGCAGGGCTGATTACGGATCAAAACTAACATAACTCTAACACTGAAATGATCCTGAAACTAACGCTCATTCATTGCACTTTGAGTCATAAAGTAGTTTTATTTATTTTCCTACTAATCTATCTACACACTTAGTTTTTTCTACCGAGCTCGGCTGTGCGGGTCTCGGCGGGGTGGGGGTTTCGCTGAGATCTCGGCGGGAGTGACATTTGATTGCCGAGTCTCGGATAATGCCTTTTCTAATAATCTGCCTACGTTTCTTTTATTTGTTATCTACTTCATCCCTTTTTTATTTGTCTGCTCTTCTTTCCTCTTCTCTTCTTTTGTTTTGTTTGTTTACATATATCTAATACTAATACCTCCTTGTTTTCTCTCTAATTTGTCTACTATGTCCCACCATCACGATGAGAGATGAGCTACCGTACATGGTACACGCTCATATACACTCCCAAAATAGTATGCCGCAAGTAAGTATATCACAGAGGCAACTAAAGATCCAGAAACGAAAACCGATAACGCTGAAGATAATGAGCTGTGGTGATTTACATGACTAAATAGTATTATTTATTAATACTAACCTAAACACAACGTGGGGTGACCCAAATCCAAACGATCACTAACCAAAATAATAGACTTATCTTTTTTCAGCAGCACTACACAATCCATCGTTGCTTATGCCTTTGTTGTCGTTTGGAACCAGTTCTGCGAGGTAGGCGACGATTGTGCGTATTTCTCGCGTAACTTTTGCAAAGAGCCTATTTATAGCCTGAACAATACGTAAAGAGCAAATTGAAACATTGAACGTCGCGTGAAAGTGGAACTTAATGAAGGCCTAAGTACTTTTTCGTAGTTTTTAGTTTTCGGATTTGAAAGATCGTCGGTTACAGTGGCCTGCTTACTGAGCAGAAAAACGCGGTCCCAGGTCCTTACATATCAAAGAGATTTATGGTCAAATCGCTTGTGTATCGTGTATTTTGCGAAACTCGTTGTTGTCGTTGGTTCCGGGTTTGAATGGATACAAAAATTTGAGCAACGGTATTATGTGATATGAGGGGCTCGGTGGCCTTAGAGCAACCGTTTTTGCTTACTGAGCAGAACATCATGAGTCTAATCTCAGGCCCATCCACATTCAAGATTCGCCAATCGTTTTATTTGTTAATATGACTACATTTTTTTTTTTTTGTCTTTATTTTAGAGATTTTTAGCCTGAGGCTAGTTCATCTCTTAATATGACTACATGGTAATAATAGCAACTCGGTGATTAAAAAGGTGCTCGTCTGCCTAGTGGCAAACGTTTTTGCTTACTGAACAGAAGACCGTGGGTTTAGTCCCAAGCTCCTTCGCGTTATATGATCGTTAGGACATCAATTCAGCTTATCGTTTACCAAAACGAACCCTGCTGCAAACCCAACCCTCTTATCCAACATCCCAGTGATTCCTCGTGGAAGTGCAGAGGTGTTCTCGGCTTCCATCAAAGCGAGTGTCATGTCAACATAATCCTTCCCATTCCTTTCTTGACCTGTGTTCGGGCGCGGCCGGCGCTGGTATTGCCTAATTTAAGATCACCAGTTTTTACACATTGAGGATGATTGCTAGTCCCAAGCATCGTCTATTGGTTCTCTGTGTAATTACAGCTGATCTGGCAATAACAGAGTAGCAACCGTGGGCGGTCAATCAAGCTCAAGCTCAAGCTCAGTCCCATCCTAATTTTCACTAGTTCTTAAGTTAAGTTACAGTTCTTATATTTGAATTGCTATATTTTTCGCTGATACAACCAAACATTTAAGCTTCATTGCAGCTAATTTTAAATTGAAAGAACTACCAATAAATTTACTATGGTATTTCAAATAATTACATGCGTATTGTGCTTCGTAACTTCGACTGCCATTTTCTCAATGCCTGGAAGGGTACACTCAGGTATTTTGTTTACACGCGGAATATGTAGAGGAACTAGTGGCATTATGGAGACCCTAAGGATTTTGCCAAATTTGGCTTGATAGGAATCAAAATATCTCTATGTGTTATTTACTAACCACCTTTGTCACTAATTTAGCAGCACTTACACTTTTTTCTACTTTAACTAATTATGTTGTATTACTCCATGCGTTAAGTTGACGATTTACATAGTTAGAGATGCTTAACATCAAATATCAGACTTAAAGTGGTCATTTTATACGATAGAAGAGGAGATAAAAGTATAGAGTTGATAGTTCCGTTAAAGACGGCAGTGTGAAAATTGCGAACAAAGGTCAATTTTGAGGAAGGCACGGATCGGGTTAATCATCTCCTTTACCAAACTCTCCTGTTGGGCAGCAAGCCTGTGCGTTTTTTTCAAGAATTTACGGTGATTAGGAACATCTCACTCGTTAAATTACTTATTCAGAAGAGGAATGAAATAACTGTTGCATCCAAATTGTTGTGTAGTTCCCACCGTGAAAAAAAAACTTTCCAAGATTTTGATTTTTCTCATACTATTTTTTTTTATTTTGATGCCGTTTGTATTTATACCAGGTCCATATAGAAATATTGAAAAAAAAAAATCTGGATTTAAACCAAAAATTGTGATTTTTTAAAAGTATGCCATTCGATTATCTATGGCTTGAATCGAATAATGTGATGTGAATCAAGGCGATAGGTTGTAACGTTAGCGAGAAATCAACGTACCGTGTAAATTGCAACTCAGCGGCACCAACTGTACCACTGTTTGGTGGAATTTGAGTAGTGGCAGCCGGCCAGATTAGGCAATCCACCTCATGCTGCTCCAAAAAAGGCAGTAGTCTCTTCCGTAGGCACTCCTCCTGCTAAATTTGCGTTACAAAAGTAACGAAAGTTTCTTTTTTCAGTCCACAACTGCAGATTGCTTGCCAGACAAGGAAATTTTTGGGGGAATTAGATTTCTTTTTGATTTTACAATCTTCCGGGGCACTCTTCCGGTCAACCGAGGTATAAAATAAGGAATTTTATCGAAAACTGCCAGGAGCGGTTATACCGGGATTTTTGTTTCAAGCGTGCAGGGTCGAATCACAACGTGCTTGCTCTGGTGAAGCCATGATGTAAACAAATGAACTCATCCTGACAACAAATGCCTACTGTAATGTTATACACTCTTAGCTTGATTCAGTAAAATTTCGAAAAAAAAACAAATTAATCTAAAATGCCTTAATGCCAGCGTTTTTAAGGTGTCCGGATTTTTTTCATAGTAAATATAGTAAACATAGTAAATGTCAATCTTTTTAATAAACCAATTTCATTATAAAACTAAGATCATCCTTCATAAACGACTTATATGTACCAAATTGAAAACAAGAATTCAAATTTTTCAGGTACAGGAGTACCATTTTTCATCCCAATGGGTCTGGGTTCAATCCCAGCCGAGGGCGGTGTGATTTTTCTGAGGCATAAAAATCTCTGGTCACGTCTGGTTCGATCTTGAAGAATCGAATGGAAGAGATTTCGTTCTGTTAAACATACGGGAAGTAGGGATTTCAGTGGTACCAAAGAATGGGGTAAAAAGTATTATTTTCGCCTCAAACTTCCCGAAAATGATTCGTGCTGATTCATCCTATTCCTTGAAAATAGTTATTTTTAATGTATACACACTTAAATTACTTTACAGGAGTCAGTATTTTTGACTCTGGTTTTAAATTGCTGAAAAAGTCGGTAAACATTCAAATGACCGTGAGGTTAACAGAACTAGGTAAGTCTGTACAAGTTCGGAATAAATTTTCTCATTTTTGATATATTCTTAAACTTTTAACGAACAGTTCCGCAATTCAAGATCCCAGTAAAAACTTACTGACTGGATTAGTGTGTAAATATCCCATCATGTCCTGTGGCATTTTGAGATATTGAGTTAAATGATTGTATTGTGGATTGCGGGTGGATCGACAAAAGTTTGAGAACCACAAAACTTACTGTGATTCAGCCGTTTGAGCCCACAGTTTAATCATCTATGGTGGAATCAGCAACGATGACGGACGAAGGTGTGTGGATGATACCAATGATCAGTGGTCGTAACTGGCAAAACGGCGATGACTTGAAAGTGAACTGGCCACGGACATAAGTGTGGAGAATCAGGTACGTTTTCCACTACAAGTTATACACCTTCTTTTGCTTACATTACTTCCTCTCTCCCTCTCATTCACAGAGTGATGCAAAGTGCTCCGTCGATACTCTCGCAGCTATAGCGTTAGCGTATGATGACGGTGCAACGGAGTATGTAGGTACATACTGCTCTTGAGCTGAGCGCAGAAGAAACCACCATCCCATTCCCATCCAGCCAGCTAGGCAGTTTGGACAGCAAGCAAGAAATCAAATTCTTTCTCCTTACTTATACTCATCTTCGATTGCGGTTCCGGGCTGTCGGTGTTAATTTGAGCAGCGGCTCGCCATTCAGTCGTTACCTGGCGGTCGTACTGGTAGGACGCGTAGGATCTTCAAGTCTGATACAGCGACAGAAACACATCTCACTGGAAATTACCTGTAAAGTTTGATCACCTGTTTTTGCTGTTATTATCCATTCCTGCTGGTCTGGGATAGAGTTGATTATCTCTTTGTTCCTTGCCACATACGCACGTCGTGCCTCAACAAGGGACTCTGGATTGCAGATATATCTGGCAGTTTTTGGCTAGCGTGGCGTGTACAGTCGATAAGTGGAACAACCGCCAGGCAACGCAAGCTAATTATAGTAACAGATTTATGACCTCCAAGCAGTTATCGTTCCTGGCATCGTATCAGTGAACCGACCGAGAATCGCGTTTATGAAGAACGATTCATAATTCGATCCATATATCGCGTTTCTGGGCGTACAAGAAATAGGAAAAAGCAATTCAAGTGTTTGTGCATTTTGTGCTAACCCCCTAGGAGAAGAAATTCGTGCTATACTATTTGGCAAAACCCCGAAACGTTGCTGCTCTGGAACCCGTATTGTTCAGTGTTTCAAGACAGAGAAACTGGAGAAATTACTCGCTTAAAAGCATTTCGATTGTTGACTTGCTGATTAAAGTGCTAAAATTTGCTGTTTTCGAATTTTGACCGGCTTTAACGACTACTTCGGCGATTTCTCTGATCACTGAAGAAAAAAGAGGAAAAACAAAAGAGTTAGTGTTTGTGCTGGTGGGATATAAAGTCAGGATTGCAGAAAAGGCTGAAACAAGATGGAATACCGATGGATCTATCTGGTGGCTCAGGTATGTTGGAAATAGATTTTTTTCAAGGTTCAGATAATGGTGAATGGGTTCCCTTTATTGGTTCAATTTGTCTGAAATGGAATAAAGGAATTTATTATTTGAATTTGCCAAAATACAAGAGATTTTTACATTTATATTGATAGGTGCGGTGCCTAGTTGTATTTCTAATTATTGAAAATTATACCTTTGAATAAAAACTTCCATATATTTGGTACCACATGGCAATTATTCTCAACCGAGGATCTGCGAACTGCAGGGTCCTAGAAAGATCAATTAAATGCCTAGAAACTCCATAAGTATCATGAATGATGATACTTAATGAAATCGTGCTACTGTTTTAGTTATCGATGATATTTCTGTGAGCCGAATACAGGACTATTTTAACCCTTTATATGCAGAGGGAACAAAGCAAGGATTCAACTACACGGCGATTGAGAACGACCCAAATTTAGGTTTAGTTCACTCATAATCGCCAAAAGTGCAGGAACTCAGTGATGAGTAAATTTACCCAATGTTTTCCAGTGGAAAACCTAAAAAATCTGCCTGAAAATGAGGAAAATTGATGAAACTTTTACTCAGTCTAGGAGTAGTATCAATAGACTGAGTGAATCCAATATTTATTTTTCTCATATTCGGGATTTTTATTCCTGGACAAACCTCGGAACACCTGAGGCAAATTTACTCATCGCTGAGTTCCTGCACTTTATGTGATTTATGAGTTAACTAAACTCAATTTTGGGTCGTTCTCATTCGCCGTGTAGCAACAGTAAGGTTCAAACACAATACAGTTTTTGTTTTGTAGACACACTTCTTTTCAACTTTCATTAAATTTTCAATAACTTTTTGGATATTCAGCCAGAACGGATCAAATTTTCGCAGCTCAATGCTGTGAAAAAGTTAAATCAATTACAATCATGAATTGACGCTGTTTATTGTGATCTTTAGTTCAGTTTGATTTGAAGATGAAATCTCAATTAGGGGAAACTAGATTCCCCACTTATTCCTGAGATATTGAGTGTGAAAAAACTAAAACTTTGTTTGGGGATAAGGTCACTTTATAGTGGCCGGGTAACTATTTTCAAGTCAGTTTCTAAAAAAGTCGCTTTTTTCACTCAAAAGTCACTTTTTCAGACCAATAATGTTGAGAGAAAATGATTTGCCTATAAAAAATCAAACCAAATCACAGCTTATTATCTTGTTAAGTTCAACGAGAAGAGTTACGAAAAGACCAGAACTGTGAATCACTAATATTATTTTATTTTCAGTTCTGTGATCTAGGCATTCAAGTCCGTTATCTTCAAAATACAACAACTTATAACGTTTTCCCTTGCCTGTGGTCTCGAAAAATTATCTAGACAATTTCATCACAAATATTCTGATATTTTGATAAAAAAATCTGGTCCCAATATCCTGACATTTTTACTCCGTGATCTTGAATGTTATCCAAGCTTTAGATTTCGAAAAATGGTCTAGAAAATTTTTTCGCTAGAAATTTTTTTATAGACTAAGATTTAAAAAAAAAATGATGCTCGGTAGTTTTAGTATTCGACCAAACATCGAGAACAAACCATTTCGCAGAATCTTGAATTCTTTTCTTAGTTCATTAAATTGTATTGTATTTTTTTTGGACTTGTAATTTGGAATCAAAAAATTTCAAGACCAGATTTTAGAAAAAATGTAATGTTCAAGATCATAAAATGTTATTTACGTTTCAGAAGCATTTAAATTTTTTTAGGACTGTGAACTTACTTTAAATATATTCATAATATGAAAATTTCTCCAAACATCACAGCATTGAATAATTAGTCGAAAATCTCTAAAATTTGCCCCAGATTGCATGCAAATTTTTCTATGTTTGCGATATTTCCATCTGAGCAATTCCGTATGAATACGCAATTCGATTTATTTTTGTATGTTTTGATTTGGTTGCAAATTTGCAGAAACGTTCCTTATGACCGATTATGCCATTTTGCATCTTCATATCGTCAATTTGAATACAGCCTTATTTTTGAAAAGGGCATATAGAAAAATATCAAGCTTATCTTCAGAAAAATTTTACTCAAAAACTGATGTCCCGATCGGTTTGGTGTCCTCGGCAATATTGCAGATAATCGATGATACTATTTGAAAAAAAAATAGCACTCTAAAAAAAAACCCAATTTTTAAAAAAATTTCAAATGGAATCTTAAAAACAATTTTTTTAAAGAAAATATTTTTGTTTGTATTTTTTTATTTGTTGATATGTTTTAGGGGACAAAAAATGTCATCTATTGCACTATAGGTCAAGATGGAGAAATGATGGACAAAAAAGTTATGATTAAAAAAAAACTCAAGTTTTTGGAAAAAATGTCCAACACCTGGTCCAACTACTTTTTCGACTTTATATAATGAAAGTACACAAAATTTACGATAAGCACTCAAGTATATTTTTCTAAGTCGCACCGTTTTTGAGATGTTACGGTTTGAAAGTAGATATAGTAGATAAGTAGATAAAATGTTGGTAGTTTTTCGCCTTTTTTAAATGTATTTCGCGGTTCTCCAGTTCCGACAATATTTTTTTTTGAAAGATCAGAAAATTTTACAAAAATAACTCTACAGTAAATTAAAAATTTGTGATTCTTATCGTATACAGCTTTCTAAACGTACCGAACTATCAAGTAGCGACGAGTTATCGAACTGCGATGAACAAGATATCAACAAGAATGTTTCAAGTCAGGAAAACTTTAGTAACTTTACCATCAATAACATCGGTAGAAACAATCGACTCTAATGTTGGCGAATTTTCGCAATGCGTTAATATTGAACTTTTCATCAAATCTATATCTAGTATTTTGACATCACCAATTGAAAGAAAAAAAAAATTAGTTGTGTAAATTATGCTGGGAAGAAATATCATGAAATTAATCAAAGAATTAGAAAGCACATATTTGCACTTAATGCAGAAGCAAACTTAGATTATAACAAAACTGACGATTTTAATGAAATTTTTGAACAGCTAACAGAAAAGTTTTCGAAAGAAGATACAACGAAAACTGAAAAATTTCAGCTCTTGACGGTATTACCAAGATTATGGACAGTTCAGAAAATTATGGAAACATTTAACACAGCCAGGTATATGGCAACACAATCTAAACAACTTTTAAACGATAAAGGTGTACACTCAACTATTACTTCGAGGTTAGGCAGTGGATTGAGTGATGATACGAAGGAACTTGTTCTGCAGTTTTTTGAAGATGATGAAACCAGCAGAGCAATGCCTGGATTGCGTAACAATAAGAAAAGATGGTAAGCGTCAGTCAGTTCAAAAAAGGTTAATGACGACCACTTTACGCGAGTCCTACAACCGATACAAAGAATTAAATAGTGAAGTACAAGTTGGTTCAACCTTTGCGAATCTCAGGCCTAAGAACTGTAAATTGTTAACTAGTTCAGGGACACATAATGTGTGTGTATGTACTCTTCATGAAAATGTCAATTAGATTATTCACAACTTTAAGAAATTTGATTTGTCCATTGATTTGAAGTCGATTACAGTTTGATATGTGAAAGAAAAGCAATAGATTACTGTCTACGATGCTTAGAAACTGAATGGATTCATATTTTTTCGAACAAAAGTTATTGGAAGAAATCGTGGAAAAGACATTAATGAAATACAATTTGAGCAATGGGTCACAACCGACAGATGAGATATGAAAACATTAGTTAAATAGCCGGATGAATTTGTTTCCTATTTAATAGAAAAATTATAGAAATTAATACCTCACGATTTTCTAAAACAACAGCATTCTATGTTTTTGCAGAATACGAAACACAATTTACAGGAAGGTGAATTTGCAGTAATATGTGATTTTTCAGAAAACTACACATTTGTATTACAAGAAGAAGTACAAAGTCGGAGACGAACCAGCCCAGGGCAGAAAGTCTCCGTAATAAAAATATATTTAAAATAAAGTACAAAGTCATCCATCACTGGAATAATCAGCAAGCAACTATTCATCCATTTATCATTTATTTAAAACATGAAGGAAAAATTAACCATTTGAGCTATTTAGTAATTTCAGAAGATTTGCGTCATGATTCAGTATCTGTAAACTTATTTATCTAAAAAAATATTGCTTTTATACGTACAGAACAGCACTTAACTGTGAATAAAATTGACGGAGCTGCATCCCAGTATAAAAATCGGGATTTTTTTTCTATAGTCTTTGCCAAATCAAGAATAAAAATGGTATAGAAGTTGAATGGCATTTCTTCGCAACATCGCATGGAAAAGGTCCATGTGATGCTATAGGAGGAACACTGAAACGTATGGCTACCAGAGCTAGTCTAGCTAGAGAACGTGAACATCCGATAAAAATGCAAGGGAACTATACAATTGGGCTCAGACGTGAAACGAGGATCAGTTGACTCAAATTTTCTTTTGTTATGCAACTACTGAAGAATATGAAACTCATAAGCACGAGCTCAACGAACAATACTCAAGAGTTATAATCATTCAAGGAACTCAAAAATACCGCCCATTTATTCCTATTTCTGAAAACCAAATAGAAGTCAGACACTTTTCAAACTGTAATAATGAAAATAAAATTGTTGATATTACTAAGAATCAAAGTATGGATTTCTGTTACAAATATCAATCTAACAATGTAAAAATAAATTAAATCATTCTCGAAAAATCGCAATTATAAGTTATATGCTAACGAGCGAAATATGTATTTGCAAGAAAATAAATTGTTTTAAAACATAAACATTCCGGATAATGTGGAAGTTTTGGATATTTTTCCTAAAACTTGAGTTTTCTCAAAAATCATAACGTTTTTGTCAATCATTTTTCCATCTTGACCTATAGTGCAATAGATGGCAATTTTTGTCCCCTAAAACATATCAACAAATTAAAAAATATATTTTTTTTAAATTTTAGTTGAAATTTTAAAAAATTTAGTAATTTTTTTTAGAGTGCATATTTTTTTTTCAAATAGTCTCATCTATTACCTGCAATA